GCTGAGTATTTTTTATAAAAATCGTTAGATTACTCTAAAGCAAAATGACGGAAAATCTGTGTCAGTTACGTGAGCTGCTGTCAGTCAGCACCTGTCATCCTCCAGACACAAGACGGAGCGTGTCTGAACCAATCACTTTTGTTGGCATTGATCAGCTGACTGATTTAAATACACCTTAACATTCATGAGGTACTTTRCATTGACTGTTTATGGTTGAGTGTAGGCGTGTAGAGGGTAGAACCTGAGGCGGGACCTCGTGCGCAAACTCTGACGTGCGGCTGTGATTTATAAAGGAAAGATGCGCAGAAACGTGCGTACGCATGGTTTTATAAATCTGAAATTTTTTTTGGCGTACGCCATTTCCGCCTTTTGGCTGTACGTTCACTTTTAGTATGGTTTCCACGCAATCCTTTATAAATGAGACCCCAGGAGATTACAGCCAAAAACCAAATTGTGGCCTTCAATGTCAAATGATTCACCAAGTAAGAAGATGAAGATGAGGGCCAAGAGCAGGGGCGTACAAGCCTCTTTATAGGCTTTCACAGATGTACCATAAATCTGTCTTGTCACGGTATACCTTCTTCCTAATATGGTAATATGTGCCTAGCTCTGAAGCTGGAAACTAAGAGGCATCACATCTGTGCATTCCTGAGAAAAGGCCCCCCACTCTTGGACACTACATGTAGACTTGCAGAGTATGCAGTACTGCAGAAGCTGCACTGATCTCTCTGTCGCAATCTTCCTGGAYTCGTGAACAAAACCCCTCCTTCACTTGAGGCAGCACAACCRAGAGACCAGCCCACCCTTTTCCAACTGGTCATTGAAAGCTGTTTTACTGATACCACTGTTACCCTGAACGTTTGATAGCAGGGATTTTATAGATTTTAGTGGCATTAAAAATAACAACTTGTTTCCTTCGGCCTGTTGCATTAGGAAAGGAAAACCAGTTGCGTGAAATTCAAAGTCAAGAATGTGAATGACAAGAAGATAGCTACAACCTGACAAAAGCATGTGATGAATAAAACATCAATTTAACAGGATATTATGGAACTGCTTAATCCAAACATAGTAGCTAATTACATTTTATATTTCCTAACAATAACCATCATATTATCAAAGTCTCTCACTACAGGCAGCTAGAGAAGAAAATAAGCCCTTGCAGGCCTACAATCTGCTGGAGAGGGATTTAAAAAGAATTAAGGTGTACCAAGTAGACCACATGACATTAGGAACTAATACACTAAATTTTAAGTAAAGGTGGAAATAACATGCCTGAAAAACAAACAAACAAACAAACAAACAAACAAATAAAGGCTGGTTCTATTATTTATTTTATTTTACCTATCAAAACCCATTCAGTGCTCGAACACAGCATTAACTTAAGCTAAAAACAAATAATAGCAGCTTGTTTTGTTCAGTGTGTTGAACAAAAATTAAGACAAACTACACGCTGCGTTGTTTGTTTAGGACAGAAGTTTAGTTGAAATGTCGGCGCTAATATGTCAGTTCCTCAGACACTATCTCCCGTCATCTGGCCCTCAGCTTTAAACTCACCGTTCCAGCTCGTTTCACCTCCTCGGCCCGTTGTTGTCTGGCTCCGCTGAGAAAACTCAGCGTCAACCGAGTGCGTGCCGCGCGCGAGTGACCTCTGTCTCCGTGGAAACGGACACACAAACGACACCCCCCTGCGCAGGAAGCTGACGCGGTGCTTTGTGGGATTTGTTGTTCTCCGAAGCAGTTGGAAGTGAAAAAGAAATGTCTCACATGAGGTACTGAAATTTACCAAAACATTTTACCAGATTACGATTAATATATACGCATGACCCTCATGTGTTCCTTAAAAATTTAGCAGAGAATGATAAAATACCGAGTTCCAGACGCAAACAATTACAATAAGCGTAGCTGTGTTTTTATTTGCGCTTTTTTAATTTTATTTATGTTGCAACTTATTTTAAAGCCAACTCAACTTCTTAAACTAGGGTGACAGCTCTTTTAGTCTACCAATAGTCTACGTTTAGCTAGTTTTCTGGAGTATCTGGACACGGAATAAGTGACAGAGTAAGACCTCTTTTTTTATATMAGCTCTTTGAACACAGGGGCAGCAGTACAGGTTTGTCACATACAGAGGGCGCTACATGATCATAGCTGAGTTTCCAGGCGCTTCCTTCCTAATGTGGCCCCTTTGTAGTAATCAGACAATAGGCTGATATTTTACCTCACCTTAAAAGTCCAAATTTAATAACTGCACAAAATAAACTCTTTACAAATATTTATTTCTCTCCGTCCTCCAAGGTAGACAAGCTACAGATGCTTCTAAATGGTTTGAAAAAGCATCAGTAGAAGCAACTCAACATGGCAAAGGAAAACAAAAAAGGGAGGGGGCTGCAACAATATGATGCCAAAGCACATAATATAGCCTACTGAAGAAGCTGATTAAGATGTGCAATTGTTGGAGGCCCAGCTAGCTATCAAATAACCAAACAAACAAACAAAAAATAATCCAATATTTTCATGTTATTTAGGAGTACACTAAGAGTCTATTATACCAGTTATTTTCCCAGGTTGGACACATTCAGTTTGAATGCGTCTGAGCTGAACTTTGAAGTTGTTCTCGTAGTTTTCAGTGCCAGAAAGTGAGCTGCGAACCAAAAAGAAAAACACATTTCAGTAGCTATTAATACCTATCATGTCCTTATTGACCTTCGTCAGGCAGTTATTTTGGTAAGTTTATTATCTAAGCAGGCATAACAAACTTGTCCAGGTATAATATAACAGAATAACAAACTTTTATCTCTTAGCTTTTCATGTGTTTATGCGCTTTGATGATGGTTCCAGCACAAACGCAGGGCAGGTTAAGCCCGGACACAGCAGAATGGGTGGAGTGGGGAGAGGGAGGAGGGTAGAACAAGTGGAGATTCATTCTAAGAGGATTATTGTAGTCGTCACAGCTTCCTGTCGGTACAGAATGCCCGGTTTGTCTTGACTCTATGCAGGTCACTCCCAAAGTAATGACATGTTCTGTGCGTTTTTCAGATCTCAGACGTGTCATAAATGATTTGCCGCCTTCCAGGATGACCTGTGGTTGCTTTTACCTGTTGGGAGCTGTTGGGGATCTGTTACCAGAAAGCGCCGGCGTCCTGACCGGGTTTTGGGCAGGCGGTTCTTGACATGAAGACGAGACCTGCGGGGATCGGCAAGGTCAATGCCGACTGGATGGGGTCGCTGCCCTCCCAACTTAGTGCCATGCCGCTCAAATACATCGCTGTCCCAGGTGAGCCATGTGCAGAAAGGTATGTTAGACTTAAACAAAACTATTAGGAATAGCTTCGTTTAGTCAAAAGGTGCAAAGAATGCATCTAGTCGTTTTTACAGAACTATTAAATCTTCTAAARCTACATGCATGTCTTCATAACTGGAGGTTCTTAAACCAACTGCTGCATTAAACCAATTTAATTATTATTATTTAGTTTAATAAAATTAATTTTTTTAATTAAATTTTTTAATTTTAAAAAAAAATATTTTTAATTAAAAATTAATAAATTAAATTTAATATTATTATTTTATTTAATAATGCATTTAATCAATCATTAAACCAGCTGCTTTCTTTGTCTCACATTCCTCATAATTTGCCTACTGTATAAAGGTAATCCCCCTTCACCTGACTCTGCTTTCCTTCAGGCTCTCACGATTCTTTCACTTTCTGGGTGGATGTTCATGCTCCTGTGGGCACCGATCAGAAGACTTACGTCAAATACCTGGCCACCATGTTTAGTGTCTTAGCCAAAAAAGTCATGGTGAAGTGGTCAATGACGCAGGTATCCTTTCATAATCCAGAAAAAAAGCAGCCAATTTGTATAGATTACACCTGAAATTTTTAGAAGATGATTTTGCAGCCACTTGTAACATCAAATATTCTGTATTTTCAGAACTTGACATTTAGGGAGCAGCTGGATGCAGGGATTCGTTATTTTGACCTCAGGGTATCTTCTAAACCAGGCGAACCTGGAAATGAGATCTATTTTATCCACGGCCTCTTTGGACACAAGGTGAGTGGAAGAATTATTTACAACTCACAGTATTAGTTGACCTTTTTACACTCATACCTGGTCAAGAGTTTTGCAACTAAATATACTTTTTTCTTCATATGTCACAGTTTAGTATATACAGTATATATATACAAAACACCCTTCAGTTCAACAACATCTGTTTTATAGTCGAACATACGGCCATTATTTCAGTATAATATCTTCTGCCACTGTACAGTATGRCTCACCAGGTTGTGGATGAGTTTTTGTTTGAACGATACTTTATTGATCCCATGAAGGGAAATTAGAAGAGTAGAAGAGTTACAGTATCTGAATGTCTTGTTGACATYAGTTTTAGGACTGGTCAATCAACTGATCAGGCACTTGTCTGCAGTAATGAAGGTGTTGATCTGGTCCATTGTGATGAAGAAGCAGCGGAGCCAAAAGGAAAAGCTCTAAATTTACTGGTCCACCTTCCAACCCTTATCTATGAAACTAAAATTAAACACAAGAAAACAAGAAAAGCCATCTTGCTGGAAAGTAGTTATATTTTGTGTTAAAGTCAGCGTAGGTTTGCAAAAACCTTTTTTTTTTTCATTTGTGTGAACTGAACTGAACTCATCTCCTGTTTGTCTGCAAAGGTGAGAGACGGCCTGTTAGAAATTAACTCCTTCCTCTGCAGACACAAGAAAGAGGTAAACAGCTGTCGTGTCAAACTGTTTAAAACCTAAATAAATCATCAGAAGACGAACTGATTAGATTCCTGATTCAGGTGGTGTTTTTGGACTTCAATCATTACTACGCAATGGAGGCAGAGCACCACATCTACCTCATCAACATGCTCCAGGAAGTGTTCAGGACTAAGCTGTGCAACGACTGTAGGGTGGAAAATGTCACTCTGGACTACCTCTGGGAGAAGAAATATCAGGTGAGAGCCGCTGGGAAAGATTCCACCTGTAATGTGTTCTCTCAGAGAGTTCAGGGACTGCAATAAGCTCAAAGTTGGGAAAGCTGAAGGACTGCGACGTGATCTCTGTTCAATTTGTGTGAAAAGAAATACAAGAAAATAAATGTTTAAGTCAATTTGCAACATGCACAAGTAAAACAAGATGTGTGCGTGTGGGTGACAGATCAATGAACGGCAGGTAATCCCTGCCACCCGTGACTCTCCTGAGCAGGAATTATGGTGATCATCATCCCATTAACACTTGTTCCATGAACCAAGCTGCCTTTTATCTTCATATGTTTTCATCTCATGCTCTCAGACACACAACGTTTTATGTTTTATAATTTAATTACATTTCTACAGTTAAACACTTGTGCTTATTCATACTTAGAGCAATTTACATGTGCACATTTGAGCTGCTGATTAGCTGTATCACTACTACTTCACCATGTGCATGTCTGTATTTCATGCATAGCCAACAATCATTCCTGTCCTTGTGACCTTAATCTGCTAATGACTTACTTGGCAAAGCAGACAGAAAGAGTCTATCAGGTAGGGAACATAAGAGAGTAAAGAAATGAAGAGATGCACATTAAGTAGCTGCAGAGGGCAGCATTTCTCCATGTCAACAGTTTTTATTGTCGTCTCAGTGATGCATCGTTAGCTAAATCACTCAGATGTGTTTTTATAATTAAATGTTTAAACATTTAATTAAAACTAGGGCTGCATGATATTAGGAAACCCTGTGATTACAGTGCTTAATATTGCGATTATGATATGACTTGCAATAAATTAACAAATACCTAAGTATGTGGTGTTGTTTTTCTGCTCTGGGTTCAGAGCAAAACAACCAATACATCTTTTCCAACATAACAGTTCCAATTAATGCAACTAAACAGCTGCTGTATTAGCAGTGAAACAACAAACTGCGTGCAATGCAGTTTCCTAACGACCTTAAAACCACTTCCCCATAAAACATTTTCTGATGTTTTAAATATGAAAAACGCCCTTTCCAGTTTTTTAAATAAATAATTTAAAAAATTTTAATTTATTAAAGCATTTTAAGAAAAAGTTAGCATAACTTAAATCCAACTGCAAATTCTCTCGTTGCAGTTGTCCAACATTTTATCCACTGACCAAGTTTGACTCGATTCATTGTGTTTACCAGACTGAAGAAGCCCCCTCAGCTCACTGTATTCATGGGTATCTTGTCCATGGCCAAATAATGTGCACCGGCCTCCGTTATTTCTTTGTACCACTTTGACGTTTAAAGAGTTCCACTTGTAAAACTCTGAGGATGTCTGCTGGACTGTTGTGCTCTCACTTCTCTTAACGTTTGCAACTTTGGTTTTGCTAGCGTTAGCTTTTTGGAACTCTTCATTCAGGTCTTTATGGTTGTAYTGAAGGGGAAAATGGAGATTAGTCATGTTTCCTGTTGTGGTTTCCACTAGTTTCCAGCAGGTTTTGCAGAGTACCTGAGTTTGTAGAACATAGTCTCTCTTGAAACCAAAATATCTCCAAATAGGACACGTGCTGTTTTTTTTAACAAGTTCTTTGTTGCTTACATTTTCCTAACTTAACTTGCTCTCAGCCACTGTAGCTTTAACTAAGCTTGCTCAGTTGTTTGCTGTCTTTTTGCAGGGGCGGAGCCAGGGGGTGGCCAGGGGTGGCCATGGCCACTACAGACAAATCTTTGGCCACCCCATTGACCACCCTGCTGTACACACCCCTTACACAGTGAAACAACCATTAGGGGTGTAATAATCCTCCCGAAAAGTTGGTGGTAGTGTTTAACAGTTTGAAACATCACCAAGCTCAAAGAAGTGACAAAAAAGTGATTGTTTCTGAACATGTGCCTATGTAATCTGACTTATGGTGACAAATATATATATTTTTTTGTCATCATAACACAGTGTCATTTTCTGTTATGAAGGCTGCATGATGCTCGGTCCCTTTTGGTTATGAGTAGACCTATCACTAAATCAAAAAAGTGAAATAAATCAATAAACAATATAAAAGTAAAAGGCACCCCTAAAGTTATTAGTTATGATAAATTGTGACACATTAATTAACCTTATCTCAGCTGTAGCAGTGGGTTTAAAAACAACATAATAAAACTAGTTTAATGAAGAATCTGTCTCTGAAATAATTATTGAATCAAGTGTTTATTTATGTAGGTAAAATTATGCTTAATAACCTGGTAAAATACACTAGAATGCAGGAAATGGCATCTATTTTGTTCAAAAATTTCTGGGGGAAGACCCCCCAACAGTCTGTCCCCCCACTTTTAAAATGTTCTGACACCCATGATTATAAGGTAGTCACTGCCTGTATAAATACTGTACATAAGGAAATGACCAAAACACTAAGATCTGCAGAAAACTTTCAAGTAAAAATTTATTTAATTGTCCTGGTCACCCCTGGGTGAGTAGTGGTCCCCGTCTGGCCACCCCTGAGAAAAATGTCTGTCTCCGCACCTGTGTAGGGGTTGGGTATCTAATGTAAAGAGATGCAGGCGATTATCCAAATAYGTCAAAGGCTCCATTTGATTGGTCAAACACTTCAAGCTTCAGTGTGATTGACAAAATGAATACAAATAAATGCAAACATTTAACCAATCTTTTATCACAGTTTATGCAGTTTTGGGGGGGATATGCCCATTGCATAAGCTGTTATCATGATAATGATACATTTTTGATAGATTGTGCCGCCCAGTTAAAACCTATAAAGTTGTGTGAAACAGCAGATTATACTATAGGTTCTGCATAATTCAATAAGATTTGTAAAGAAATGACAACTGACTTCAACAAAGTGAGAGAAATAAATCCAGTTTAAAGCTGGTATTTGTAGCATTGTGTTTGACTCTACATTTGCACACAAAATTTAAACAGGTTTAAAAGTAGAGGGCTTGATTTTCTTTCATCATTGTTGGTGTTAGGTCACATCAGGTTGTCTGTATTGTTTTGTTTATATTTTAATGTTAAGGATGACTAATTTCTTTTAACAACTTTAACTTTTTTTCCTTTCAGGTTATTGTATTCTACCATCACCCCTCAGCCCAGGGAATCCCAGTCATGTGGCCTGGCTATAAGATCCCTGCTCCCTGGGCAAACACCACTGAGCCCAACAAGCTTATACAGGTAAGAGGGCAACACTCTGACTTTCCCTCCGAAGCACGTCAGATGAAATCCTTATACATACATTTCCAAGAAAACCCTTATTGTAAAGGAAAATACCAGAAACATCAATCAGAAAGCAGAAAAAAGAAAAAGAAGTCATGCATAAAAGAAGCATAAAAGTTGGTCTGACAAGGATTGTATAAAGGTAATTACAGGGATTGTTTGGAAATAAAAGTCAAAGTTGAGATCTTAATTCAACAGAAATGTACTTTTTTTCAATTTGAATATTCGATTGTTCATAATAAGTACAAAAAGACTGCGTATGAATTGTTATTTTTTACAAATCCTTATTTTCTTTTTGGGCTTTTACTCTGTCAAAGACTCTGATTTAGGAGCGCTTTATAACAGCTTTTTATAGGCTTAGATTAGAGACATAAGTTCATCTCTTCRCTTCATTTTTCTTCTCCAAGCTGTCAATGCTGAACTGTCCTGTCCTGCTTTATTTCTTCCTCCCATTGTCTTCTTTCTTATTTTCTACTAACCTGAAAACAACCCATTTTAACTCTACACATTRCGTAACCCCTTTAAACAAATTTCCATTTTCAAGATCTTTTTTAAGAAAAACACATTTTCACTGTTCTCTCCTTTTAGTTCCTTGAATCTACACTGAAGGAAAGAGCCAGGCAGGGATCGTTCCACGTCACCCAGGCCATCCTCACTCCAAGACCCAACACGGTGGCCAAGGGTTTGGTCTGGGGGCTTCGCAACTACCTGGTAGAAAGGTCAGTGTCTCTGCAGGAGTGAAAGAATGAGTTTAGATGAGTTTTACGGCTATTATATAACATTAGATCCCAAAGTTTGAGTCAGGACTCTACAGTGGGTCATGACACACTAAGTTGGGGGCGTTTAGAATCTGAAAAGTTTGGGAACTACTGATAGAGAGAGCAATACACTTAATGAGTGAAAACCTATGATGATGAGATGGCCAAGAAAACAAGAGTTCATCATTTAACTTCTCCCTATTGGTCATATTTTCTGCAAACATAACAGTCACATTCACCTCTATGCAGATGACACCCAGCTCTAACTCTCAACTAAACATAACTCCACACTTCCATCATTGTCCCTCTCCAATTTGACATAAAATCCTGGTTCACTTCAAACTTTTTTTAAATTGCAGTAAAACAGAACTTCTCTTGTTAGGAACAGAATCTATATTAAACAAACTCCATAACTTTTCTATTCCCGGTGATAACTCCTCCATCTTTCCCTCCTCTCGGGTTAAGAGTCTGGCTATCATCCTTGATAATATTATTCACTCTGCCTACTACCATCTTCTTAACACTAATTGTCTTCGTCCCTCTCTGACTCCTCACTCAACTGCTGTACTAATTCACAGTTTGGTCACCTCTCATTTAGATTTTTGTAATTCACTTCTTTTTGGCTGTCCACGTTAAACCCTTGACGAATTACAACTGGTTCAAAACTCAGCCACCCATCACACAGACTCCTTCAGTCCATCACCTACAAAAGCTCCACTGGCTTCCCATACATCACATCAATTATAAAATACTCCTCCTTACCCTCAAAGCTGTCCATCTCACTGTCCCCCCTGCCCATCTTGTTACCATGAGGAGCAGAGCTCATTAACATCGACTCACTTCCACATTTCAAATCCAAATTGAAAACCTATCTTTTTAAATTAACTTACTCCCTCAGTGTTTATCCTCTTGTATTTAGATTTTATTATTATTGTGTCTATTATTACTGTCTGTTTTTACGTTTGATGATGTTAAGCAAATTTGTCAATAATGGTGCCTATTAATAAAATGTATTATTATTATTATTACATTATTAATAAGTGCGAACAAAGCCCAATGAGAAATGTTGTTTTTATAGCTACCTTTTAAAAACTGAAGTTCGGTAACATTGAGAGAAAACTGATAACTACAGTGTCACTAATACTGTAATTACAGCCAATTTTTATTACCTAAATGACACAACATCAAATAATATTAGGTCGCTATAATAGTACAGAGACTTGGCATTTTCACTGTATATCTTTCCAGGAACTGTTTCCAACTGCACATATTTATTTTGTATTGTATCACATATAGGATATAGACACTCAGTTTGCACATCTGATTTTAGATGCAATTCTTTCTCAGCAAAAACTAAATCACTTCAGCTAAGATCTAATTTAAAGTCCTGGATTAAAAGATCATTTGCAGACTTGTTTTATTGAGTTTCAATTCTGGAATAGACTCACTGGCGAGACAGGAGGTGGCCTGATTCTGCACTTCTAAGGAAATGGCATTGCTTGGATAAACACTCAGTCTTCCGGGTTTTGTTCTGCTGGTGGCTGACACACAGATGGAAAATTTACAAGTGTTAGGAGTGACACCGCCAGAGAGTTCCCGTGCTTCGACTGTTTTATTACAAGGAATCAAAACACCCTTAATTTTCAGTTAACTGTTTTTTTTATTATTATTATTGTAAGATTTCCTGGCAGACATGAAGCTATAACATTATATTTTCTGTGACTGAACCACAGATGCTCAGTGACTGCTGAAATGTGGGAAAAAAATGAATAAAAACTTAATAAAACCTGATGCAAACCTTCTTCTGCTATGATAGAAACCTGCCAACCATCATGTCTTGGGTGGAGAGTCAGAGACCCGGGAAGGATGGAGTCAACATCATCACCTCAGACTTCGTGGAGCTCACGGACTTCGCCGACGTCGTCATCAAACTGAACAACCTGCTGCTGTCCGAGCAGAAACGTAGACCAAGATGACGCGAGGATATATAGGATTTTTCAAATTGTTCCGATATATGAAGAGCCCATCGACCCTTGAAGACTTGAAATCCTCCTTGAGCTCATCCTTGTTGGTTGTAGCTAACTTTGTCAGCTTCGACAAGTAAAGTTATCTTTAAAATGGTACATTCTATCCAGTATTGTGACGAACTTGAGGGACAAGCCCGTGCCGCAGTTTAAAGGATTATTTTTGTTTTCACAGTCTTGCTGTGAGCAAGGAGGTCCCCTGGTGTTTACCCACCACCCCACCCATCTGAGAGCCAAACATGTGTGGACTTTGTGCCACAATTCCTATAAAAAGTATGCACCCATGCAAATAAACAGCCATGAGTTGTAGGTTTACAGTTTGTTGGCTTGAATGCAGAAATAGAAGCTGTTTTATGGAAATGTGCAGCTGTGTACTTGAAGTCTTGATAGAAACATTATGTTTAATTTTACCTATTTGTTTATTTGCAGCAGTTTGTGCCTTTCTGGCTCAATGATTAGTGTAACGATCCCCGTGCATTTTTATTGAAAAGGCAGCAGAGGAGCAGTGTTTCCACAGACTCCAGTTGTTTTGTTTTTGTGGTGGAGCTATCAGCTGGACGAGACATTCTTCATCAGCAACATCAGCACCAAAAACAGAAATAAAATGTCACATCTACTGTAGTTTGGCACTTACGTCTGTGCCACATTGTTGAGGTGGTTCACCAAGCTCCACGAGGTCCTCACACACGCCGAGACACAAGCAGAAAACCTCTTGAGCCCTACGGGCCCAGTACAGGGCCCGCAGATGGTGTCATTCATTGTTGTGTGCTAAAGTAGGTGTAAAACTTATTTTTCCCAAATTTTTTCTAAGTCTGTCACAAAAGGTGTCTTTAATGTTTTTAAAACGAGTCACCAAATTATTTTTGGATAAATATTTATGATTTTAGGGCTATATAAACATTTGTAAGTTACTTGAATCGTCGCGGACTGTTTCAGTTTCAGGAAGTTCTCCATCTGTTACTGTGCAAGTTTTGGTTCTATAACCCTCCCTTTGGTATCTTTGAAAAGACGAAGCTCTCATGAATTCAGGGATATATTTTACACTGTGTTACTCTTTGTTTGGTGACATGAAGTTTGTGTGTAACTGACAGTATAAATAACAGCCCTCATGCGTAAAACGTCGAGGCGGAGTTAGGTTCCATTCAGTGATTTCATGGTGTGCACAATGGTAGATTTTGACGATGCACAGTGTAAATGTAAAAAGAAAAGTTTAGGTCATATGCAGAATGAGTCCTACAATAGGAATCAACACTTTTATTAGCCCAGATTCTCTTTTATAAAGTAAAAAAAAAAAACATTTGGCCGAGTTTTGGGTACATTTGGCTAAACTGTGCCAAAATGCCATTTCCGCCCGGCACATTAATCACTAAAACCTTTGTGAAATGAATATACTTCAACTTATTCAGTCCTACTTTGCTACAATTTTTCTCAAGATGTAGATGCATAAAATCTAAGGGCATTCCTGGGTTTTCACCAAAGTTTTCATTATGTTTTGCACTGTTGATTTAAAAAAAATTTAAGGCGATGCTAAAAAAATTAGAGATTTTCTTTATTTAATCACAAATAACTCAGGCACAGTAAGAGTTACAATAGTGGTTTCACTTAAGAAATTATCTTTAAGATTTTACCTTTACAGAGGTACCAAGAGTTAGCATTTAGACCTTATAACTGGAGCTATTCTTGCTTTATTTTGCTGTGTATTTTCAGGCAGAAATTGCCTCTAAAACCCCTTAGGGCTTAATTACACACATACCGTGGCTGGAGAGTGCAGCCGATGGGACAGAAAGAGCATTCCTCTGTAGTTCGGATTTGTCCCTGCGTTCTCTCCTTGTGTCTCASTTGTCTTCCTCTCGGCTTCCAGGGTCTCACAGGGGAGGACGACAACTCAAGGGTGAGGTTTCAAACGGTAATAAATCCCTGAATAAATAAAAACTGCTTTTGTGTGTGTGCTTTTGTTTATTAGTCAGGCTCTGCTGCCAAAAGTGGAGCAGCGATAAAGCTTTTGTGTCTGTGTTTAATAGTCTGCAGTATTGGCAAAATCCTTTAATTTGGGCAAATATATTTCCCATTTTTGGAAATCCTCCATGAAAAATCTGATTTCCCCCATAACACTTTGTTTCACCACGTCTTCCCTCTCCTAACACATCATTCTTTATTTCCCTCTCCGCTCTGCAGCAGCAGTCCAGTGGAAACATGGAGCTGCGTACATCTTGATCAGCAGACGTCTTCGTGACCAAACATGGTGCCGTTTGTTGGCATTTCGGTGGCAGGAATTTTGCAAAACTCTACGTTTGCACTGAAAATGCACCTACGTTGAAGAGTATTTATCTCGATCAAGTTCAACTCTGAACAGATGAGTAAATTTGGTTTCAGTTCATTTAGCATCTGCTATTTCCTCTGTGTGATGTCAAATACCAGAGTTAACCGGGTCACTTGAGTCTATTGAGCAGAAAATGGTCAACGTATTCCTTACAGACTTCACGGTGACTCAGATATTTTTACAGCTGTAAAAACAACCGTGTCTTATGACAATGCTTCCTCTGAATGAGGCGAGTAAAGAAGGAGGAAAAATGAAGCAAAATGACAACACTCAGATTGAATTTTTTTCTGAATGAACCTGACCTCTAAAGGTATGGGTTTCTCAGAATTCCTGCTCGGCCTTCCTGCRCCTCATGGGAACCCTGGAATTCTGTCAGGCGTGCCGTCAGCGGCCCTCCTAGAAGCCCCTGGACCTGGATGATGTCCCTGAGAAAAGCTGTGCAGCTCTCGCTGCTCTCAGCCACCCATGGCGACATAATTGTGTAACGGCTTCTGGAAACACTTGACAAGAAAGAGTTTCAAAAGGAACCTTTAGACAATTTTCTGGTAGTTTTATTCCGGTTAATGTTACGATTTATTTCTTTGCATTTGCAAAACGTTCAAAGCATACTTTAGTAAATACACCATAAAACAAACTAAATTAGCATGAAGCCATTTTGACATGTGGTTTTCAGTATCAGGAGTGAGAAGCTGCTGGCGTTTGAAATGGCAGGATTCAGAACTTGAATGATGTAAATCAATCAAACATGATGGATTCTGTAAATACAAAATCTTTGCTGCATTCTTTGAACAAATGCATATCGTCCGCCACCTTTTGGATAAAAAGTAACTTCTTAGTTTAAAACTCTAACATGAAAGTCAGCAGGCAGTTTTTATTTTTTAAACCTTTATTTCACCAGGTAAAACTTTTACAAGGTTTGCCTGAAAGTGCTAAAATGCTTAAAGGGATCCCTGATTAGTTGTAACATTAGACTTTATTTGATAAACATTTCTTTTAACTGTAAAATAAAGACTGTAAAAATACTGTAGTTTTTATCATTTTTAAACTAAAAGTACACGGACAGGGCCATTTTATTTACACACAAAGCATTCTGGGTAAATGATGACGTGGATAGGTCCTCAGTGTGAGCGAGCTAAATCCTGAAGGTTAATCTTGGACAACATCTGATG